TACTGAGTTGGGGTTAATCTGTGTCTAAGGTCCTGTAGTGATTTTTCATGAATTTGGATGCACCAGAGTTTGGTGCATATATGTTCGTGATTGTAATATCTTCTTGGTTAATTGTTCCTTTAATCAGAATGAAATTTGAAGTCTATTTTTTCAAATATTAGCATTGCAACCCCTGCTTGTTTCTTGGTGCCATTTGCTTTGGATATTCTTTTCCAAACTTTCACCTTAAGGTAGTGCCTGTCCTTGAAAGTGAGATGGGTTTCTTGCAAACAACAAAAGGATATATTTCGTTTCTTAATCCATTCAACTAGCCTATGTATTTTGACTGGGGAGCCCATTGATACTTAAAGTTATTATTGAAAGATATGTATTTGTTGCCATCATTTTCATTACTGTTTGCATTCTTTGTCTAATTTTGTGTTTCCACAATTATACCTTCATTAAGTTTCTTTCAGTTGCCCCTGGGTATATTTGTTCCTTTCTCCATTCTTTGTATTGCTTCAAGTATCTTCTGAAGGGCTGGGTTTTGTGGACATGAGCCTAATTGTGTCAATTATAATAGATATTTTTGCTTGGCAAAGTATTCTCTGTTGGCATCCATGATCATTTAGAACTGGGAATACTTTGGTCCAGGCTCTTCTGGCTTTCATAGTTTTCTTTGATAAGTCAGCTGTAATCCTGATGGGTTTTCCTTTATATGTGAGTTGTTGTTTTTCTTTTGCAGCTTTCAGTATTCTTTGTTCTGTACATTTAGTGTTTTTACTATGTTATGTGGTGGGGAGTTTCTTTTCTGTTCCTATTTGGTTTTCTATGTGCTTCTTGTATTTGCATAGGGATGTCTTTCCTTAATTTGGGGAAAATTCAGTTCCACAATCCTGTTTAAGATCTGATCAGTACCATTAACCTGAAATTCTTCTCCTTCCTCTATGCCTATGATGTGTAGATTTGGTCTTTTCATGGTGTCTCACATTTCCTACGTATTCCATTACTGTGTTTTTCAAAATTTTTCATAT